GGGCAAAACGCTGCCCGGCAGCCAGGGCTGAGCTAGGGGAACCGAGCCACAAACAGCCCTGCGAGCCCCGGGGGGACAGCGGGAGCGGGGCCGGGGCCGGCAGAGAGCCGGCAGGGATGGGCCTGCGGCCTGGGAGAGACCCCGGCCGGGCCGGTGGACGTGCCCGGAGGGAAACTGCAGCCATGGAGAGCCCACGCTGGAGCAAACTTATCCCGAAGGACGAGGAAAGCCCCAAGCTGGAGCTCGGGAAGAGCGTGAGGAACAGCAGAGAGGAGCTGCTATGGGCTCACCGCAGGCCTTGCTCCTGCTCCTCGGGATGATGATGATGATGATGATGATGATGATGATGATGATGATGATGATGATGATGAGCTCCTGCTCATGGGAGGAGGTAGAGGAGTCAGGGATGTTGGCATGAAGTGGAGCTTGGGAAGAAGAAGGATGTATTGAGAGTGCATTGTTTTTGAATTTGTCTTCCCCCGCACACACTGTCTAAGTCTGGTTTTAATTGTCAATGGATTAAAATAAGTTTCTTCAAGTCAAGCTTGTTTTGCCCATGATGGCAACTGGGAAGAGATATCCCTGACTCTTATTTTAACACATGAGCTTTTTCCTTTATTTTCTGCTCCCGTCCTGTTGAGGAAAAAGATTGAAAGCAGCTGGGTGGACATTGGAAACTGGTTAAGGTTTGACCATGTCTTCAAAAAAACAGGACCCTTAAAGCTTATAGTCTTTAAATTGATATTCATGTAAACTCACTTCTCTTCAAAAGTACTGATCTGTTTTGAAATTCTTACATGATATTCACATTTCAGATTTGTCAGTGAAGAGCCTTGGGAATCTAACCATAAGAATATCAAAAGAATAAAGTTTACATGGGAGGATAATGGATGCGAAAATACATCTAGAGTTGAGAACATTCAAGATACCACTCTCTTGAAGAACAAAATTGATTTATATGTGCACCATTTAAAATATTTTATTTGAAATTTTACTTTATTTCTTTCTATTGAATTTTGCAGAAAGAACTGTTGGAGTAGCTCAGGAAGCTTGCATAAACAACTGTAATAATCTTTACTGCAAAAAATGACTGTGAATAACTTTGACAGCACTTGACATAAAAAAGTAAACTAGGCTGCAGTACCTATTCTATTCTTAACCAGCAGCGCAAACGTGACCTTTTAAACACCCTTAGGAGAACATCAGACCCTTCATGTCTTTCCAGTAAACGTAGCTTATCATGACCATTAATTCCTTAAATACACTGAAAAATAAATTAATTTATGTAATTCTGATTTTTTATCTTGATTTTCTTGCATGTGACTGTGACATAACCATGACTGTGTATTAAACAGATATACCTAACAAGAAAAATCTCTCCCTTTTCTTCCAGAAATGATCTGTTAACTGAAATTCAGTATAACTGAAGTTTATAAGAATAGGATTCCTCTCTCTAAATTAATCATTAACATACAGTATCCCTAAAGCCACCTATGTCTCTCCATTGGACTCAACCAGAGGTTTGAATACAACTCGAAGGTGTAGTGGCCTGTGTTTGTGTCCATGCCATTTTTTTTTCTTGTCCTTCTTTTAAATCCTTTGCTTGCATTTTTTTCCCCTCCTTCTTTTTTCTTTTTTTTTTATTCCAAAACCTGTGCCCTTCTTAAGTCCCTTATTTTTTTTTCTGTAGTTGTCAGACATAATCAAGTTTTATCCTAGAGCTTACCCCTCTATTTTTTTGGCCTATAATACAAGGACTGATGAAATTTTAATATGCTTGGTATCAGGCAGAGGTATTTTTCTCACAACATTAGAAACAGGATTTGATCTTTTTCATGTCATATTTGCATCATAGTAGTACTACAGAAAGGAGGAGGACGATATTTTAATTGGTAGAAGCAAAACATGAGACCTTATTCATTTAATTAATCTTTTTTGTTTTTCTCCATTATTGCAGTATAAAAATTGTACACAAGGAAGTCCTTCTTTGCACAAAAATGAATTCCAGACAGTATGTCACAGTTAGAATAATAAATGAAATTATCCAACGCACAGCAAGGGTGGTATAGCATCCTTGCTAATCTCTCAAGTTAAGAGGAAATATTTTTTTCTCCCCACACACTGAAACATGAAATATGTGACCTTTAAAAGCAGTGACAGATGCTTTAAAGGGGGAAAATAGTGGGTGTAATGTGTAAAGTATGTTTTGCTGATAGAATTGCTTTTTATATTGTGCAATCTGTCACAATCATGTTAAGATGGTTGAAAGGAATCAGTGCAACATTTCTGCTGGAAAATGCTGTTTTGTCAGCATTTGTCACCATGTACAAAGGAAAACAAAGGAAAACAAGGGGAAAGAAGTCAAAATATTCTGACTGGCATGGGTATTTTTTCAGTTCTTGGGACATTTTAATTAATTAGTTTTAATGTTGAATGCATTTGCTAAAATATATTTTGACATTGCTGAAATTAAGTGCTCAAATCTTTTTCCTTAACAAATTACTTTTGAACTTTAGATCTGTGTGAAATTAAACATACTCTAGGTTAGATTTTTATTTCTTTTGTTTCACCAGTTAAACATAAGAAAAAATATAGCAAGGTCTCTCTTTGCATTGGTCAGTCTAGAGCAATTTTTAAAGGTGATGCATTTCATATCCTGGGCCTATAAGTTCTCAGCTTGGACAGTGTCTCACAAAAGGCAGGTAGCTGAAGAGGGGATGTTTTATTCTTCACCAAGACTTAATAACTGGTTCTGTTTAGAGCAGAGACAACCAACAAATAATATGAATGTTTCCATTCTGCAAAATGATTGCAAATGACATTAATGGGTATTTGCAACAAAGGAGATTTAGTTTGTCTATTAACAACATTCCAAGATGGGCAGCATAAGAAGGTGTCACCTATAAGCAAGTCACCTAAAGTTTACAACCTGGTAAGTCAAAAATCCAGTTAAATATGCCTGACACTGCTTTGGTACAGAAGGGTGAAATAGGTCTCTAAAACTTAGAAAATACTGTGCATCTTAAAAATACTGTGTGTAGAAAAAAATATTTTTTTAATGTAGGAAATCCTGTATTTTCATCTTTCCATTTTCTGGGATACTTGAAGCCTGGCACTGCTACTATCGTACCTATTGCTTGGTGGCGGAAACAAGAGCAACAGAAGTCAGACATATTTTCTGATTAGGTCAATACCCGAAGGAACTCTGCAAGTGTCCACCTCAATGAATCTTTTCATTACATCTTTTACAGAGAGAGGTTT